CTCCCAGAACTGAAGGACAAGAGCTACAAGGAGAGGTTAGAGGTATTAAATCTTCAAAAACTATTAGATAGAAGAAAAAGAGACGATATGATCATTACGTACAAAATAGTAACAGGAATTGATAAAATTGATAGGGAAGAATTCCTGAGACCCAGAACTTCAAGAACAAGAGGTCGTAGATTTAAACTAACGAAACAAAGCTGCTGTAGAAATAAAAAAAATCACTTTTGTAAACAGAGTGGTAAATGGTTGGAACAAGTTAGGTGAGAAGGTGGTGGAGGCCAAAACCGTCAGTAATTTCCAAGCATTATATGACAGAGTGGTGGGGAGACGAGGCACCACGAGCATATCTTTCATCCTGTAACTACACTTAGGTAATTACATATTCATCCCACCTTTTCATATAAAAATGGCAAACAAAAATGTTGGCATTTTACGAGGGGAAATAGTTATATTAACGAGAGGAAAAATAATCATCCTGGTCAAATAAATCAAACAGTAGTATGCACTATGATATTATCATATACAGTATTTATTACCATATTTGCTGGCATAAAAGACTTGCCCTCACATAGGATGCACTCTATTTTTACAAGGATATTTTGTGGAAAAAAAATATTTTAGAATGTTTCATCATACATTTATTAAAAGATACTTTGAAGTGCATTTTGTACCCCAACTCTTACCTTCTCTAAGATCAGCTGTGTAGTTGTTTATATTTTGGGCAAGAGAATTGCTAAACAGGATGTGAAACTTGTACAGTATTTCTGGATGTAATGTTGTATTGCCGCATCAAGCAACCGGGTCGGCGCACCCAGCTATGGAGGGATACAAGACACTCTGTACATTGACAACATCAGTGCCAGGTAAGTCCACTACGGGCTCACCATAGCCCGTGCTACTTGCCCAGCTCCTGTGCTGGGTAAGTCCACTACGGGCTCGCCATAGCCTGTGCTACTTGCCCCGCTCATGTGCCGGGTAAGTCTACAACGGGCTCACCATAGCCCGTGCTTCTTGCCCAGCTCCTGTGCCAGGTAAGTCCACTACAGGCTCACCATAGCCCATGCTACTTGCCCCGCTCCTGTGCCAGGTAAGTTACGAGCTCACCATAGCCCGTGCTACTTGGAACTTGTTCCAAGTAGCTGAATCTATAACAACAACAACATTGACAACATTGCACACTAATATTTTTACCACTTCGGACACCAGCTTTGAACGTTTCGCATATGTGTACGTGTTCAATATTGAAACGACAATATAATGCTATTAACAATTAAAATCTTCTACTTAACAATCTTCAATATGAAGAATGTTGCTGCTCTCTGATTGGCCAAACGAAACTTAGTAGTGACCTCTATCGGCACGCAAGTGAACCAACAAATATCTTCCTAAGTGGACCTACGTGAATTGCACCTAAGCATCTTCTTAGGGCATACTTAGGAACCTTCATAGCAAACCTACTTACGAAGAAATACATGGAGCTTCGTGAATCTAGGTCCTGTACTGTACTGTAATGTATAACCTAATCTAACTTACCCATAACTATACAGTATCATATATAAATGAACACAAGGTATCATCTGGGAGGTGAAATCCTGCAAGAGTCAAAGAGAGAGAGAAAGATTTGGGGGGTTGATATCACACCGAACCTGTCCCCAGAGGCCCACATCAAAAGAATATCATCAGCGGCATATGCTAGACTGGCCAACATAAGAACTGCCTTTAGAAACTTGTGTAAGGAATCTTTCAGAACCCTGAATACCACTTATGTAAGATCAATCCTGGAGTATGCAGCTCCAGCCTGAAGTCCATACCTAGTTAAACAAAAGACAAAGCTAGAGAAGATCCAGCCGTATGCCACCAGGCTTGTCCCGGAACTGAGAGGAATGAGCTACGAGGAAAGGCTAAAGGAGCTGAACCTCACATCCCTGGAAAGCAGAAGAGTAAGGGGAGACATGATAACCACCTACAAAATTCTCAGTGGAATTGACAGGGTGGACAAACACAAACTCTTCAGCACAGGTGGAACATGAACAAGGGGACACAGGTGAAAACTTAGTACCCAGATGAGCCACAGAGACGTTAGAAAGAATTTTT